CTCAAAATCTCATCTTGTATGGATCTTTTAAGAAATCTAACATGAACTTCCCTGGGGACTCTGTTTCTTCTGGCGTAGTTTGAATTGACTCTGAAGACCTGGTCTAGTTCTCCTTCCATTTGGGCCTTCCCCATTCCTAGAAAATCTGCAAGTAGCTCAATTATCAGGCCTAAAAGGTTCTCATCCTTGTTTTAAGTTATGTTTTGAAATCTTAAAAAATATGAAGCCCTTTCCATCTCTATCACCACCAAAGTGTCTTCCAATTCCACATTTATTTGGGCCAATTTTTTATTCTCATCTTTTAAAGATTCTAATTTCTGGTCAACTTCCACTGATTTGTCTTCTATTTTTTTGGTTCCTTTGTTGGTTATCTGTAATCGTCTGTTTAAAGTTTTCAATTTGAGAATCTATATTGACAATTTTCTGATTCATTTTATTAAGATCAGTTTTCAAATCTTCATAGTTTTTGGTTGAAGATGCCGTCTGAGCTGCAATTGCCTGTAATATCACCTGGGTGTCTTTTTGTTGGGGTTCCATTTTTTCTTGCTGCAGCACTGTTGTGATCGATTATTTTTATAAACATTTTATTGGTTTTTTTCATCAACATATGTTAATTTTTCCAATCCACAAGTTGTCTGGAGTTTGCTATCCTAATACATGTTAAATTCCTAATCCTTCATTCTTTTCTCTAGCCAAGAATAAAATAAGTTCCAAATTTGATAGTAGTCTGTATCTTCTTTATCTTTCAACCTCATAGTTAATCTGTCCATCTCTGCACATTCCAATATTTCCCTGATTATTTCTTTCTCTGATGGTAGTCCTTCTTTCTTCCAATATTGTGCAAAAATTATTCTCGCTGCTGTAGTAATGTGTAAAATTAAATATAATTTCTGCTTATTAGTCTTTTCAGGCATAATACCTAGTAAAAAAAGTTCAGGTTTAAAATCCACTTGTTTACCCAATATTTTTTCTAACCACATAAGTATCTTTCTCCAATAGGCCTTTGCCTTACCACATGTCCACCAAATGTGATAATACGTGCCTATGTTATGTTTACATTTCCAATATCTATCTGACATATTTTTAAACATTTTTGCTAATCTTGCTGGCGGTAGGTGCCATCTATAAAACATTTTATACAGATTTTCTTTGTATGAAGTTGACATTGTTAATTTATAGTTTCTCTCCCATAACATTTGCCATTTTTCTAATTATTATAGCCCAAAAAATTTGCCCATCTTGTCATTGTTTCTTTCACTTGTTCACTTTCCATATCTAAAATTAACAAAAAGTTATACATTTTCTTGATTAATTTCTCATCTGAGGTTAACAAAATCTTATCAAACACAGTTTGATCCTTGTAAAATCCTTACATTTTTACATCTTTTTCATGTCTACTTTGTATCTGTAAGTGTGCCAACCAGGACAAGTTAATTCCCTGATTTAAAATCTTGTTTAGATTTTAATTTCCCATCAATATCTAGAATATCTTTATATGTCCATATTTTTTCAAAGTTTACTAAGTTCGGATGTATAAATGCCTCCATTGTTGATAACCACCCTGGAATTTTAAAATATATTTTAGCTTTATTTTTTTCCCATACAGTTGATAAGGCATTTCTTATAAAATGATTTTGAAAATACTTATGGACTCTGTTTTTCCCGTACCATAAGAAAGCAAGCCACCCCAATTGTAAATCATGTCCCTCTAAATACAATAATTTTTTATTTCCAAGTGTTATCCACTCTTTCACCCATGTTAACACAGATGCTTGGTAATACACTGTCCATTCCAGCAAGCCAAAACCTCCATTTTCCTTAGCATCTTGTAATGTTTTCATCTTAATTTTAGCTTTTTCCCCCTGCCAAATAAAGTTCAAAACCAATGAATTTAAATCTTGAAAGAATTTTATCTCAAGTTTTATCGGAATCATTTGAAATAGAAATAAAATCTTCGGCAACACATTCATTTTTACTGTAGCAATTCTTCCTAATATTGACAGCTGCAGATTTTTCTATCTTTCCAAGTCTAGCTTTATTTGCTTCAATAATTTTGTATAATTGTCTTCTTTTATTAACGAATATTTAGCTGAAAGATGAATACCTAAATATTTAACTTTTTTCACTATTTGTACCTCTGTTTTCTCTAGTATTTGCCTTTTTTGTTTATCTGTGAGGTTCTTTACTATTACTTTTTTTTCTTTATTTATTTTTAGTCCTGCCATTTCTCCATATTCTTTCATCTTTCCCCATAGTTTAGAAATCATCTCTAAAGATTCTTCCAAGATAAACACTAAATCATTAGTAAATGCTTGTAACTTATATGTTTCATCTTTTATTTTCAATCCTTTAATTTCTGTGTTCTATCTTATCCTATTTAGTACTTCGAAGGTAAAGATAAATAATAATGAAGATAATGGACACCCTTGTCTCATTCCTTTTCTTATCTCAAAACTCTCAGTATAATCTCCATTCACTATCACTTTTACTGTCTGGTTGCTATATATTGTTTTTATCATATTTGTAATTTCCCCCCCAAAATCCATTATTTGTAATTGTTGAACCATAAATTGCCAGGAAACATTATCAAATGCTTTTTGGGCATCTAAAAACACTAATGCTAATTGTTTCCCTGGATGTAATTGATAATATTCTAATATGTCCATTATCACCCTTAAATTGTTTTTAATTTGTTTCTTTGGTAAAAAGCCGTTTTGATCTGGATGTATAAACTCAACTAAGTATTTTTTCAGTCTCTCTGCCATTATTGAATAAAAATTTTGTAATCCACATTGAGTAATGAAATTGGTCTATAGTTCTTAATATACATCAAGTCTGAATCTTCTTTCGGTATGTTGTGATTGATTTTTGATAGATAGAAGTCGAGACAGGGCAGAAGATCCTTTTCTCCCAAATTTAGACAGGTTTGAAGCGCTCATCTTTAAGTTTAAATCTTATATTGTAATCCACCAAGTGGCCCAATGGTCAATTGTAATCCAATAGGCTCCTATTGCTAGGAGGGGAGATCTACAAAAGCAATTAAAAAAAACAGAAAAAAGATAAAAAATGGCAACAAGGGAAAAAAAGAAAAAAAGAGAAGACAATAATAAAAAGAGGCGAGGAAAAAACCCTCTCCCAATAAAAAAAGATAATAGAGAAAGAATTCAAAAAAAGGGGGGGGGAGAGGAAAAAGCAAAAATATCAAATTTATAGTTCACCAAATTCTATTCAAAAAGATATTTTTTTTTAATGTCCAGTTCTTCTTAACACAATAATTATAGTCCAAGGAAGGAGATGGCTCAAAGTATCATTTGTTTAAAAAAATATAGTTTGTCTTGTGCAGCCAAAAAAGCCAGAGGAAAGCCTTTTTTTTCCAACAAGCTTCAAGGTCTTAGATAAAAATGTCTGGGCATAGAGCCAAGCTTCTAATCTGAATAGGCTCCAGGCTAGAAAAAAAAAGTTTTCGGTGTAGCCACCAGGCGATACAAAGTATCAGTTCCCAGCAGCTGAATAGAGAAAAAAAGGTAAAAGTAAAAAAAAGAAAAGTAGTCAAGAGGGAAAAAAAGTATGTAGAGTTTTAAGACTAACAGGTAGAATTGCAGTGGGTTTCCAACATAAAACAAAAGAAAAAAGCGTCTATAAAAAGAGCAGTAGCTTCCCAGGTTTCTATTAAGCCTCAGAGAGCTTTATTATGTTAGAAGTTTGTTTTTTAAATTGCAAAGTAGCTTAAACCGCCGTTTGTATACAGGAGGGGGAAAAAACCCTCCACCCCCTCCCTAGAGCTAAAGGCTTCACTCTCAGGTGGTAGGAGAGCTATTTGGCAAAAATCCACCTTCAGCAGGAAAGGAGACAGTATTCTTACCCAGCTCAGCTGCTTGCTGTCATTCTGCGCTGCTTTCTCCACTTCCGATGATCAGCTGTTAATGGCGGATCACATGAATGTGGTCCGCCTTTCTTCCACCAATTCCAGAGGCTGCTTTGGCTCCAATGAGCCGGCTACCGCTGACCTGTGGTCCCCAAAATTTCACCCTTTGGTGGCCACCTCTCGGGGCGGCTTCGGTCCGAATGGACCCACCAGCAGATGAAAATCAGACCTGGGGAGCAGAGAGTCTTTTCCCCGGGTCTACCTTCAGCGATGTCACCGGAAATTAACTTAAGATGAAAATCATTGGACCACCAATACTTTGATGTGGATTGCAGTTCTTTTTTTTTTTAATGTTATACTTAAGTTTGGATGAAAAAGCCAAACAATTCTGTGCTTATAATGTTGACATACTAAATTGTAATTAACATTGATTTTTTTATTGTCAGCACTTAAAACTATCTAAACAATATAATGTTAATCTTTAATCATAATATATAACCCTCATAATATTGAAACACTACAATATATCATTAATTATACTATTAAAACAAAATTATTATTTTAAAAAGTCAGCCACAGGACATATATAGTTTCTCATCACTATCCCCACTTCCAAGACATTCAAGTTCAATAGTACAATGTTACTAAGAAACAAAGGCAGGGCTTGTATGCATCGATCTCCTTATAATAATAATAATAAAGTTGGAAGGGACCTTGGAGGTCATCGAGTCCAACCCCCTGCTCAGGCAGGAAACCCTACACCATTTCAGACAGATGGCTGTCCAGTCTCTTCTTAAAAACTTCCAGTGTTGGAGCATTCTACATGGATTTGCTAAATCACCTTTAAAGGCCATCCTATTTGGCAGTGATAGCCATATATTATGGAAAGAAATGCTAGTTTAACTTATATTTGACTTTCTTGCATTTAGTTTCATTGGCTGAATTAATGGTAATATTACAGAAAGTAGAATAGCTTGCTGTGTTTTGCATAATATTGCTTATCCAGAAAAAGAATATCTGGTGAGTATTTTCTCTGGCACATGGCATCCTTTTTCTATACCATGAGTTGGCAGCAGCATCTGAGTAGAGCACTAGTATTCTTGGTTAGGGATCCAGGTCATTACCTGCCAAAATGTATATTTGGAAAATACCAAAAATCATAAGCATTTGACTCATTAAAACTTAAAGGATGAGAGCTCATAACACAATTCAATGGATACATAATGCCATTCAGTGTTGGTATCCCACAATTTTACAATTTTGGATCAACTCCTTCAAAGAACTGAAAACTTTGCAAAATGTAAATTGATCTTGGCTTGCTTCAGAGGCAGTTCATTCAAATCAAGTATTTGTTTATTGAAACTTTTTAATATTACTGTGGCTTCCAACATTCTGTTTGCTAAGGAGTTTGAATCCTTTATTGGGTGTTCTCTGAATGAGCAATTTATTGTTATAAAAAAATGGGGATATTTTATATGACATTTTAGCTAACATCTTTTACATCAGTGGCAGGTTGAGGCTAAATCAGAATGATTTTATTGAGCTAATGCTCATTTTAATGAATGACAATTGTCCCCTATTTAGCTTTTATTGCAAATTCAATATTATAATTGCCTCTGTATCTCTAAAAATTTCATTGAAAAAGATTTATCAGTTATTTCCTCAGTCATAATATTGGTTTCATAAAGTGGCAAAATTCTACTATAATCTTTCCAAAGATTTCTTTCTATTCTTTAGAAAATATTTTTAGATTTCTTTATGAGACATCATACTTGAATGACCGCTATGAAAAAAAAGCCTTGCTTGAGAACATTTCTGCAATAAACTTCCGTTTTACTGTGAATTGAAACTAAGGTGGCTGGTTGATAGATAGCACATGCCCTTTTCTCAATCTTCCCAAAGTGGAAGAAACAAAGGTCTTAATAAAAGTAGTCTGATTTTCCATGGAAATTCTAGAACTGTCAGCAATGTTACAAACTAAAAAGAGTTTTGTTAAACTGGGTTTTGTTAGCAGTGTGAAGATGGCAAATTTCATGCGGTTAAGGAAGTCTGAGCTAGTAAAATCAAGGAACAAAATTGATTAAACTTGAAGGATTATAGGCAAGGCCTACAAAATATTAATTTTCAAATAACATTCCCCCTGAACTAATATTGGAACAGAACTTGCTGACCTTCCAGAAGAGACTGAAGACATGATTTTATCATCTGTCTTGGGGATCTGGTAATGTGAAGCTTGCAAAGTGCTAGAGAAACTGAATGTTTTCTTCTGCAAATTGTTTTTTTAATGTTCTGTAATTATTTTTAGCAATAGCACTTATATAGGTTTATACTGTATATAAAATTATGGCTTACCTCTTACTGAAAGAGAAGACATGTATCACAACTGCATTGCTTCAAAATGCCCCAGAAGGCTTACATTAAAAAGAAGTCTCCTCTACCCAAAACAATTATGGACCAGACCCTGGGGACTATTTGCCATCAATAGCTTGGGGAGGGGAATGAAGAGCATCTTGCCTTCTGAAGTGCCATATTTGATAAAAAAATGTTTACTAATTTATTAAGCCTATGAGCAGCTGCATTTGAGTGGAGACTCATGGTTTAGGGGACAAAGATGATTTTTTTAAATCAGTGAACCAAACTATTTTTAACTGGAGAAGAATAAGAAATGGCAGTTGTACATTTTTAATGCAATCTTTTGAGGAAGTGAGTAGTGATGGCACCTGTCTCACGTGCTATTTATGTTTTAAACTGTTTCTTACACAACAATCACAGTGGATGAACAAGGGGCTCCTGGTGAGCAAGCCTGCTTTGTATTCTTCTACTTGACTTGAAATTAAGGCTTCTTTCAGTGATTCTTTCTACCAAGGTCTTCCTGAAGAACAAGTCATCTTAATGTTGCAGAGGACTATGTAAATGGTAGGCTCATTACAAAGTTTTGCATTTCTTTTGAAAAATAATTTTATTTGGAGCTGATTTTTGTGTCTAAGAATTCTAAGACTTTGTTGTTCTTTTTTTATTCATAATGAATCTACTCCGTTTCTTAACACTTATTTTCTTAAAAACTAGTGAATGTTATTTACAAAAAGAGACTAACAAGTGGGCTTAATATCCCTAAAAGCTTTTATTAGTTTAATTTGCAGCCTTGATTCTGACAAACATAGCCAAAATTATGTCCAAAAGACTAGTTTTTAAGTCTAAAATTGTTCTCATTTCCCAGAAAACTACCTGGAGAGGATTTCTGTTACTAACAGCAGCTTGCATATAAAAAAGTTGTTAACTTGAAAAGATTATTCTAAGAAGAATTAGTAGGTAAGAAAAAAGACATTTCAAGTTCTTACAGGTTTTACAACTTTGAAAGTAAAATAAATAGGTTTTTAAAATACTTTTATAAAGCTTTACAAATAGCTCAAAATAATGATTAGAGGAATGTAGCCTAATGCTTCCACTCTAGTTGATATGAAATTTCATCAATGTCTGATATCATGTAACCACACAAGATTTTCTGCATCTTTTGATGTATTGTATCTTTTTTCTCACACTTCTAAAGCCATATGTTGTTCATCCCTCTTTCTTTTTCCCATACATTTCAAATCTCTGTGAAGTTTGCCTTAGAACATTTTAACTGATTGATCGGAGGAAAAAAAGAAGTGAAAACATTTATGGAAATTACCATTGTCACCTGCTATTAACTGTAGATGTAGATGTAAAGGGGAATTGTTAATTTAAAAAAAATAGAATATAATCCTATCTGTTGTCTCTTCTCTGTTCCTCATTCTATTCAGATGTTACCTAACAAGTTTTTTTGAGGGAAAGAACATTATATAAATGGAGGGATGATATTTAGATTTCCAACTCTTTCAGTTGCACCAAACATGCACAAACATATAGATATGCACATGTTAATTTTTCCCCTTTGCTCAAGAAAATTGATTAATAAAGGATGGAATAGCTGCAGTATATTTTGATAGCAATCACAAGTGATTTTTCTGGAAAAATCCATTGACTTCACAACACAGTCCCTTAATCCAATTTGAAAAAGACCCCCTTTCTTCCGTTTTCTTCACTTTTTAATCCCGTGCTTTCTCTGGAAAGAAACATGCTATGAGAATGGGCCATGGGCAACTGAAGCTGTCTGTGCTGAATAATATATATTTGTGGAAAAGTATGATACTTCATCCTTCCTTGTGAATGGGAAAACAGTGGGGGGGGGGGTGTTATTTTGGCAGGGATAAGTTTCATTCTCATATTCAGAAATGTGGAAACCACCATACAAATCTCACTAGGTTACAGATCTCAGAGGTATCTAATGCATCAGGTCACTGAAAGGATGAAATGAGAAGGATGGTCTGCTGTTCTCATTAGAAGCAAAGCATGTTATACAACAATAAATTCTTCAACCCAATCCCAACTTTCCATGCATTCCCTTTTCCTCCATTCTGCTAATAATTACATATATTCTAGGCCAGGCGTGTCAAACTATTGGCCCATTGGCCGGATGTGTCATAGCGAAACCGCGCCCACCCATTTCCAGCAATGGAAAAAAAGTCACGATACGTCATGACATGACACGTAACATTGCGAGTTTGACACCCCTGTTCTAGGCCTCCAGGTACCAATATACTTACTTTTTTCTTAAAGCACATTTTTTTCCCAGTTAACTTGCCATTTTATTCATTAAAAAAAATTGTCTTTAGAAGTGCAACTATTATTAAACTTTCTCTTGAATTTCTTTTATTAATTTAATAGTTATATAAAATGTTTTAAGATTAAAATGACAAGGTAGATTATATTATTAATCATGCATACAATTCATGATGATACTATTATACTGTACTTTTTTAACCTAGTGAAGTAAACGTCTAAAGAGCAATTGTGACTATTTAAGCACAGGCCAACTATTTTTAATTTTCTCATGATATGTTCTGAAATGGTACTAATAAATAATTCCTAACAGATTTTTATATCAGTGAGAGATGAATGAAATATAATACAAGTTAATTACTTAGTATCCTTAGTTTTGCTTAATCATAAAGTTATATATTTAACCATTTTTCTTATGTATTCAGGAGGATATCACATTTTGTGTTACTCATCTAATAGAGAAATTTAAAAAAACACCTAGGATACTAGGATGTATATTAGACATCTATGGATTTATATAGCAGATGATTCAATGAATATTTCAAAAGACATCATCGCTGTGTTTATCCAGAAAACCTTGTTTATTTAAAGCACCGTTTATTTAAAGCCTCCTCTTTGTAATTGTAAGCAGAGACTGTTTAGCAGAGAACAGGGATACATTTGCTTGGCCTGAGTTTCATTGCAAATTTGACAACTTTGCCTATTCCAATGTATGCATGGATCAGAAACTGTTCATGTGACAAAATCTGTACTGTATTTTCTGGAAATTGCGTAATAGTTCATCAATTTATAGAATAAAATTGTATGAAGAAATGGGAATATAAAAATGTTAGGAAAAAAAGACATATATTGGGGAAATAGTGCACCCAAAAATATGCAGAAAAGAACCCCCATTGTTCAACATATTGCTTTATTCTGCACCAACAGTTTCATCTCACTTATTCTATTCTCCTTTCAATTTAGCAGGTAATATTTCACTGCAAACAGTTATTCATGTTCTTAGACCATGAAGAGAGGGCAGAAATATTTCTTGTTCCTTGATCATCAGGGTAAGCATCTATCTTTCAGCACAATTAGTTGCCTAATTGAGCAGTTGTATTTCATAACATACATTTTGTAATGCCATTAGTAATTTTTGCAGCAGAAATGTTTGGCATGCAACAGTTTGGAAAGTGGGCTGGAAATTATATTGGTAAAAATATAAGATCAAGATTTATAGGTTAGTTATTGGTCTCAGTTTAATTCATAAAGGTTCCATTTTAAAATAAAATTTCACAAAAATGTAATTATGGTTGCTTAACTATAATGTAAATGGTCTAGGTGATTGCTTCATTTAAGATAGGGTTATAAAGGGAAAAATACATAATTTGGTGTCTATAGAATATTGCCAAAATAAATAAGCTCACAATTTTTAAGAGTAACAGGGTCCCTCCATCTCTTTGACACCAGATGGTCCTGTAATAAAACACAAACCTTTATTAGAAGACAGTTTTTGATGGGATGCATACAGTTCACAGGGTTCCTGTTAGAACTGTGGAAATTCTTCCTAAAAGTGCCTTGGAACATCTGTCAAAACACATATGCATGCAGAGAACTAGGATCAGTTTCCAAAGCAACTTTTAGTACAGGTGTTCTCGACTTACAACCATTTATTTAGTGGCCATTCAAAATTACAATGGCACTGAAAAAAGTAACCTATATATATATATAATCAAAATTCAGATGTTTGGCAACTGGCAGGTATTATGACAGTAGCAACATCCCGGATCATGCAATCACCATTTGCAATCTTCTCAGTTGTTTTTTGACAAGCAAAGTCAATAGAGGAAGCTAGATTCACTTAGTGACTGTTGTTTCATTTAACAACACCATGGCAAAACAGATTGTGAAATCAGGCACTACTCACATAACAACCGTCTTGCTTAGCAATGAAAATTCTAGTCCCAATTGTGATCGTAAGTCAAGGACTACCTGTAACACAAAATGAAACAAAACAGCCACCTCTTTAGAGGATATTGCACAACCATAATTCTTTCCCAAAAAATGACTGACCCAGTGGCAACTACTGCTAGTCCTAGCTTTTCTTCCAAAAATATAATCTAGCTCAGCAAATATTGTTTTCAGCTTGGAAATTTTCTATCAGATCTCTTTCTAGGCTCCCTGTGATCTAGATATTAGAACTTCTAAATTTCCACCGTTAACAAGAGAGATATGCTAAGAGTGCCTCTGAATGTAGACAGAATGTCTTTTGCTTTCCACCAGGTAAGTGTAAACCTTACCTTTTCTCTGCCACTTCCCTTTGTCTCTTCCTTTTTCTCTCTCATACACAAATGCATACACATGGAGGCCAGGATGAGTAAAAAAAAGCCTATAAGATATCTAATATCATGCCATATTTTAGCACCTCTTTTTAAAAAAAGAATAAAATAATATAATATATAATGTTTATCAAAGGAACCGAGCACAAAGGCACTTCAGCATTCTAAATGCTCAGGTCTTCCATACGACTGAACATTGGCAAATATAGTTTTTACACTGCCTTTCTTATTTATCAGTTCTGCTGCCCTTTTGAAGCCCAGATTGATTGTTCACTAAATCTCTCTTTCCTCATTGGTTGTTCTTGGGTAAACTCCATCTTCAGCAAATAAGGGGCTCCTGTACTCTTAAAACAATCTACTTTACAATGCTATATCAGATTATAGAAGAATGCTTGGAAAGAAAACAAAAGTCCTTATGTTGATTATACAGAGGGACATCCTTACTGTGCTCCACTTGATTAACACCAGGAAAAAGAGTAATTAAAGATGTTGAAAGCCAATGTTCTCTTATCCAGTCCTAAATATTGGGTGCTGAGAAGACTGCATTTGGATAGAACAATAAAAATTGTTTCTATCCTGCCCTCCATATACAATGAACTACATATAATACATTTATTCTTAATCAAGAATGCCTTGGAAATTTTAGTCTAATATGCTGTCTGAATCTCACAAATATAATTACTTATCTTTCTGCAACTAGTAATAGACACAATAGGCTTATCCCTTGGGCTCTTATAAATTCAGTCCAAGTATCACAGTTATCTAGAAAGATTTACCTTGACATTACCAATAGATGCTATACATAGAGGCACCCAAGAGAATCCCAAGACTTACTCAGGTTTCCAGCACGTCTTAGGCATGAATCCATAAGACCATTCTCAGGGTAATACTGTACAAACAACCTTCCTGAATCTCAGCTGCTCACTGCCTTTGACTCTATGGAAGACCATGGGCCTTCATAAGTTGTATGTCACTTCATCAAGTGACTCCTAAGTAGCCCCACCAAGTCTGCTCCTTAATGTAGCCAAGCCTCCTATACATCACTGTTGTGTTTTCTTCCTCTTCAGCTGATGTTTTTCAGCTGCTGAAAGGGAAAGAGAGAAGACTGGCCTGGACCAATATCTTCTACATCCAGGGCCAGGAGAAGGATTAGATTCTGACTTGGTATCAATGCCAGATATAATAAAGTCTCTCTTTTTTTGGTATTGTATTGCTTTTGGGAAGGTTTCTCCTGCTCCTGTTCCTCAATTATGAAAGATCTGTACAGCAAACATCAAGTACATGCTGCACCCACGGGTTGTCCATCCTTGATCAAAGCAATATTCTTTTCCCCGTCCCAGGCTGCAGAAAACTGGATTAAAAAGGGGAGAGAATTTTAGATGAAGATCTTCTAAAGCAATGTTTCATACAAAATGGCATTTGCTCTAGATATCTGGTAGCAATAAAGGAATTCAAATAATATCATGCCAATAATTTCTTCAACATACTTGAATCATCAAAAAAGTCCCTATTGGCTCATTTGCTGACCTAACTGCAAATTTGGGCATACTACTTGATAGTTATCAAAAGCCCTGTATTTTCTGATTTAAAAAAAAATTAAAAACAATATTTATTTATATTTCACACTTCTTCCTCATGGCCAGCATATCTCTGGGGGAAAGAAGGAAAGGGAAAGGGAAAGAGAGAGGGAAAGAAAAGGAAAGGAAAGGGCAAAGGGGAAAGGAAAGAAGGGGAGGAGAGAAGAGGAGAAGAAAGGAGCAGATAGATTTATGTTGCCTACTAGAGAACAGAGGGAGGGAGGGAGGGAGGGAGGGAAGGAAGGAAGGAGGGAAGGAAGGAAGGAAGGAAGGAAGGAAGGAAGGAAGGAAGGAAGGAAGGAAGGAAGGAAGGAGCAAGCTTTGGATAACACTGATGAACTTAAAAAGCCACAGACAGAGATCTGTGGAATAGGGTAACAAACAGTGCAATCTGGGGATCCAGTGGTAGAAAGGAAGACAGATTTCTGGGGTGTATTTGTGGTGTAATTAGGGCAAGGGAAGAAAAGCCTGAGGAAGGAGAAGTCCAGATCATACATTCCTGATAGAGCTTAAAGCACCTCTTCTCAATGTAAAATTATTTAAGAATGTTCATTGTTCAACTGTTTAAGTAAATTCTTTTATATTTAGCTGGTGTGATGTTGCTTTTCTTTTTTTTCTCTCTAGACTATTCATCTCTGGCTCGCAAGCCGACTGATTTTCTTTGTTGTATCACTGGCTTTGAAAGAGATTATAGTAATGTCATTTTATAAAACTTTGCCTTGTGATGTGAATTATGTAAGTGATACTTCCAAAATGTATATGCAAGTTGACTGCAGTGACCGTAAACTCATACAGTTTCCAAAAGACATTCCTACCAATGTTACCAATCTGACACTTGCTGTTAATCACATTCCAAAGATTTCCAAAAGCCACTTTAAGGACTTAAAAAAGCTTCTAGAAATTGATTTCAAATGCAACTGTGTACCAGTCAGGTTGGGACCTAAAGATCACGTTTGCACCCAGGGTCTGCAAATCCAAGCTCACGCTTTCTCCAAACTCTCCAGCTTAAAATCACTCTATTTAGATGGCAACCAGCTCTCAGCAATCCCTCAACATCTCCCACCTAACCTACGTCTTCTGAGTCTTGAAGCTAATTCCATTTTTTCTATCAAGAAAGAAAATTTGTCAGGACTTCAAAGCCTAGAAGTACTCTATCTAGGGCAGAATTGTTATTACCGCAACCCCTGCAATATATCTTTTGAAATTAATGAAGCAGCCTTTCAGCCTCTCACAAGTTTAAAAGTGTTGTCTTTGAAAGCCAACAACTTATCAAGGGTCCCACAAAACCTACCATCAAACTTAAAAGAACTCTATCTTTATAATAACGCAATTCGAACTATCACTGAGTATGATCTATCCTCTCTGAATAATTTGGAAGTACTTGATTTAAGTGGAAACTGTCCTCGTTGTCACAATGCACGATATCATTGTGTTGAATGCCCAGGACAGGCAAGCATTTTTATCAATCCCAGAGCCTTTGACTCATTAAAGCATTTAAAGGTACTGAAGCTGCACAGCACCTCCCTTCAACGAGTGGACTACCATTGGTTTATAAATACTAAGAACCTTCAAGTACTTGATCTTTCACAAAATTATTTGGCAAAAGAAATTCAGCAAGCCCATTTTCTACAGTTTCTTCCTAATCTTGTGGAACTTGACTTATCTTTCAATTATGAACTGGGATCATACCCATTACATTTTATTTTCCCCAAAACATTTTCCACCCTTTCCAATCTTCAGTCCTTAAGAATAAGAGGATTTGTTTTCAAAGAACTAAATCAACAGACTATAAACAATTTAATTCCTCTTAAAAAACTTAATGTCTTGGATTTCGGAACTAATTTTATCAGGAATGTTGACATTGCTATGTTTAAAGAATTCCAAAGTCTTAGAACAATAATTCTTTCTTTTAATAAAATATCTCTTTTTTCATATGAGCCAAATAGCAGGCTTTACTCTGTTCTCAACTCATCAGATGATCAGTATAATGGCAATATATTGATAGATACACAGTATTTCAGATATGATGAATATGGTCAAAGTTGCAGATCTAAAGATACAGAGGATATTCATTTTTTGCCTTTTATCAATGAGATTGCATGCAGCAACTATGGAAAAACACTTGATTTAAGCAGAAATAATATTTTTTTTATCAATTCTTCTGATTTCCAGCAACTTTCAGACCTTAAATGCCTTAACATCTCCAATAATGCTATGAGCCAAGCTTTGAAGGGAACTGAATTTGCTCATCTGTCCAGTTTGAAATGTTTGGATTTATCTAATAATCGGATTGATTTGCTACATGTGAATGCTTTTCAACAGCTGAAAGAACTGGAAGTTCTAAACCTTAGTGATAATAGCTATTATTTTAAGGCGGAAGGTGTCACACATATGTTGGGCTTTACCAAATGCCTGGTTAATTTGAAAATACTGATTATGAATGGCAATGAGATTTCTGTCTCCACTGATAAAGGGATGGCAAGTGATTCCATCAAAACATTAGAATTTAGACGGAATCGCTTAGATATTTTATGGAAGGATGGAAGTAATGAATACTTGGCATTCTTCAAGAATTTGACAGCCCTGGAAAGTCTTGACATTTCTGAGAACTTTCTGACTTTGTTACCTCATGATGTATTCTACAATCTGCCTCCAAAACTGAAAGTGTTAAAGCTGGCCAGTAATCTATTGAAGACTTTTAACTGGGGGTGTCTTCCAGCACTAAAGAATTTGGAAATCTTAGATCTTAGCAACAATCAGCTGACTACAGTCCCCCATGAACTGTCCAACTGTACTAAGACTCTTCATACATTCATAGTGCAAAACAACAAGATCAGAAAGCTGACACATAATTTTCTCAAAGATGCTTTCTTCCTGAGGCATTTAGATCTTAGTTTTAATAAGATCAAAACAATCAAGAACTCTAGCTTCCCCAAAAATGTTATTAGCAAACTAACAACATTACTCTTAAACGATAATTCTTTCAAATGTAATTGTGATATTGTATGGCTTGTCCAATGGATCAATGAGACAAAAGTAAAAATCCCTTTCCTAGCAACACATGTGACTTGTGCAGGGCCAAGTGTATGGAAAGCTAAAAGTTTGATTTTATTAGATTTGCATACGTGTGAATCAGATTTCTCTCAGATCGTCTATTTATTGTCAGCTTCATTTATCATATTTCTCATGATAGTTCCAGTTATAAGCCACCTATATTTTTGGGATGTCTGGTATATTTATCATTTCTGCACTGCCAAATTAAAGGGATATAAACGTCTCTTTTCATCTGAAGTTAAATATGATGCTTTTGTGGCTTACGATAATAAAGATGCATCTGTAACAGAATGGATCCTGAAAGAACTAATTGAGAAACTTGAAGATCAGAAAGAAAAAAAATTCAATATATGTTTAGAAGAAAGAGACTGGCTACCAGGTCACCCATTTATAGAAAACCTTAATGACAGCATACAAATGAGTAGAAAAACCATATTTGTGCTGACAAACAGCTATATTGCAAGTGGCAACTTCAGAACAGCCTTTTATATGGCACATCAGCGTCTTGTGGATGAAAAAGTAGATGTAATTATCCTGATAATTCTTGAGAAGCTTCTGCAAATGTCAAAGTGTCTCCGTCTCCGGAAGACCTTGTGTAGTAGATCTTGTCTTGAATGGCCAATCAATCCTCAGTCTCAGGCTTATTTCTGGCATTGTCTTAGAAACTCCCTAGCAGCAAATAATGAGTTCAGGTATAACAAGCTTTTCAAGGAAATGGTATAATGCTCAGTTGCATTCTCAGAAAATGTTTTGGAAATCATAGCAGATGCATGGGATGAGGCTGAATCTCAAACTCTACATTGAGGAGGTTTTATAGCATCGGTAAAATCAAACAAAAGCACCTCATCAACCACAACACGCTCCTTCTGAAGCAGGGAAACTTTTGGTTATCTGAGGAAAGGTGCCCAGGAAGTTTAGTTCAATAGCTCAATTTTCCATTTCATAATTATTGAGATGTAGGAAACTTATGCAGATTTTTATGAATTCCCCCAATCTAAGCAGGAAAAGTGAAACAGAAAAAACATTCCAATTACAAATTTCCACAGCAAGAATTTATGAGTTTTCCTATGTAAGTATATTTTCTTTCCAATATTTGATACAATTTAGAAAGACAAAATAAAAATAAATACAATCTTTAGCATGAACTACAATTATATTTGAAAAACAGATATTTTGAACCAGCTGGCTACTTATTTATATGATGAGGGGAAAAAGCTTTAAATTACCTAGTGATACAATAACAATATGGGAATTGTAACATAATGGGGATATGGAGATCAGTTAAGTCCAATCTAGTTTTTATTTGTATATTAGGGCAATATCCATCCTATTTCAGAAGTCAAACATATAGCTCAACACGGCTGAGTGTGACACAAGTCAGATTAAAATGCAATTGGAAATAGTTAACACAATAAAATAAAATAAAATGCAATAAAGCATAAGAAGTTGCATTTTGAAATTAAATAATAATATAGTTAACAACTACCAAGAAAGTCTTAGCTCACGACTCAAAAGGAGTTCTGCACAGATTCACTGCCTTGGCCAGCTGCAACAACTAAGATTGCTTGGTGCTGCAATGGTGTGAACTGAGAAGGACCATCAACTTGATAGGAATTTATCTTCAGTTTGTGCTGCAAAGAACCTTGCTGATGCAATTAAACTGAGGTATCAAGCTTGTGCCTTTTCCCCAGGTCAGCAGGCAGGCAGCCGTGCACTGGTTGCCCTTCTGTTCTAGACCTCAGGCTTCCAGACCATGAGTTCTAGTCCAGCCTTAGGTCAGTTGGATAGCCTTGGGGCCAGTCACTTTTTCTCAGCCCAAGGAAGAAGGCAATGGCAAACCACTTCTGAAAAACCTTGCAAAGAAAACTGCAGTAACTTGTCCAGACAGTCTCTGAGAATTGGACATGACTGAATGAAAGGAAAAAAGATGGAATGCATTCAAAAATGGAAAGAAGGGGGAAAATGAAAGAAAACTGGTGATCTAAATGCTTTTTGTATAATGCTTTTTCTTTTTAAAAAAATTCTTTCATTACAGTATCAAATTCCAAAACTGAAGGAATATAAACACTTACAAAATATTATCAGCAACTAATGGATTTATACTGTAATCTGAAAGCATCTATGTGTGAAGCCAGTTTGGTGTAATGGTTAAGGCATCAATTAGAAACTAAGAGACCTTTAATTACAGTCCTGCCTTGGGCACAAAGCCAAATGGGTGACCTGGGGCCAGTCACTTTTCTTGTCCCTAGGAGGAACTAGAATCTCCAAGTTAATCAGTCAAAATAAATCAGAATAGAGTTGGTAGGGACCTTGGGGGCCTTCTAGTCCAACCTCCTGCTCAAGCAAGAGACCCTGCATGCAGTATTCCAGGTGTGGTCTTACTAAGGCTTTATAAAATGGTACTAATACTTCATGTGATTTTGATTCTATGTGTCAAGAATGAAACTTTGTCAATACATTTCATCTTGCCTTTAGATTAAGGGAAAGGGAGATGTTACTTTCAAGTGGGTTAAATGGAGAAACAAAACTTCGATTCAACTGAAGACTGTGAGAGCCTGAACCCTTGTCAAGGATACCAGAGCAGGTTTGGATTTGAAGCTGATGGTTCCCAAAACAAAGTGAACTTGTTAATATGAATTAACGTTGGGGATTTGGCTGGGGAAATTATTGTTTAAGTGTATGAATTGGTGTTGGAACCTCAGAATTAGTTTTGCTTTGACAAAACCATGCAGTGTATTCAATAAACAGTAAGATTTTCGGAAACAGAATGAACCTGGACTTTTATTTGGATTCTTGAGCTGGATGTTGACATTAAATTAACTCTCTCTTGCAGCTTACCCAGGTTTTCTTCCCAAGAGTACTGAGACCTGAAATGGGTAAGAGAACAGATGGAGGGGGACAATGGGGGAGTTTCCCTCCTGCAGTTGTCGGTTTTAACCCAGATGGGAGAGACAGGTTCGTTGATTGGAGCTTGTCTGAAGCAGAAAGCTGGATTGATAGAGCCACCAAATACTGCTGAAAAGAGAGGAGCTCAAGCAACACCACTGGGTGCTGACCTACCACCCGGATATGTACTGGTGCAGGAGGATCAACAGCCTCCTCCTTTAAAGTCATGTTTGAGGCTGACTGGAGAAGTTGGTTTACTTTCTGACCTAGATGTGGAATTATTTAGAAAGATATGGAGGCAGACACCCTGATGATGGATCAGGTGTGAATACTATTTCTGTGAACCTGGAAGGGAATGCAATGGAGTGGTTGATGTCCTTATATGATGAGGTAGACCCTGAGCTCCATGATGTGGATGCCTTCATGCAAGAGCTACAGAATCAGTTTGAAGATCCCACTGAGGTAGATGCGAGAATCAGGATGATCAACCAAGGGAAGCAACTGGTTGCTGAATACATTAGAGAATTTTGTAGTCTGGTAGCTCATGTAAGAGGGTGGTCTGAACATATGTTGGTATACCAATTCCAAGATGGACTAAGCAGGAACTATATTACACCTACCTACCAGGAGGAGTACCCAGTCTCCTAAGGAATTGGTACCAGTTGGCTACCAATGTGGAATTAGATTTGGTAGATTACTGACATCACACCAGTCAAGACAACCAACTTCACTGTGCAGCTGAGAGATGCCTAGCTGGCCAAGGGAGCAAGGGAAATGTTCCAGAGACCAGAAGAGAGAGAACCCTCCTCAGTAAGGAAGCTTTGGTTGTGCTTTGATTATGGAAAAGAGGGCCCCCGAGCTGCGAATTGCCCTGCACCACACCCAATGTCAACATGTCGAGCTCCAAGCAAGACTAAGACAAAGAAGCCAGTGCCAAAGTCCAAAAAACAAACAAAAGTTGCACAACAGATCATAGATGTCTCTTCCCCATCCAGCAAGGGGAAGGAAACCCTGATCCCTAGGAAGCCTGGGTTTGTTTTCTATGAGAGTGACAGCGAAGGGGACGATGACCCAATGGTGAATGGTCCTATTTCCCTGATGACTACCAGGGTAGAATTGTTAGTACCCTCTTCGGGAGTAAGGGAGAATTCACTGAACTTCTGGACTCAAGGTGCACAAGGCATGTAATCAGCTCGCGAACAGTAGAATAAGTGGGACTAAGACTCAGAAATTTGAGACAACCCATGGGGTTTGAACAACTAGATGGGTCTCTTATGGGGGAAGAACATGCAACCTGTCTTACTGAGCCAGTGACTATAATGCTTGGAAATAATATTGAAATCATTTGTTTTATTGTAGCCCCTGGGATGACTGAAAATATGATTTTAGGATTAGGTTGGCTGAAGAAATTGGAATAACAAGTGGCGAATGAGGAAAAGAGTAATTGATCCACAAAAGCTGCAGGAGACTGCAAATACTTGCCCTAAGCCATTGACTGAGAAATTGAAAGTGTTGACACTGAATACACTGAAAGCAGACAGGCAGTTAAAGAACAGCATCCCAGCTGAATACAGAGACTTAATTGAAGTATTCAGTGAAAAAAGAATCGGGTGTACTCCCATTTCATCAACCAATGGACTGTGCTATACAGATAGTTCCAGGGGCTAAGTTTCATATACCAAAGATGTATGCTATGACACCTAAAGAAATGGAAGAACTTAGACGGTTTTTAGATAACCTGACTCGGGGATTCATTCAACCTACAAAATCGAAAATGGCTGCCCCTATATTATTTAGAGGAAAAAAAGAATGGGGGCCTTAGAATGTGTGTGGATTATAAAAGTCTCAATACTATATCAGTGGAAAAAATGTAGCCCCTCCTCCTTATGAAAGAGGAGGATACCTATCTAAGGGGAAAATGTTTACAAAATTGGATCTGAGGAAAGCTATTATAGAGTAAGGATTAAAGAAGGGTATGAGTGGAAAACTGCATTTAATTGCCCTTTAGGGTATCATCAGTTCAGAGTGATGCCATTTGAGCTACAAGGGGCACCTGCAGTATTCATGCAATTGATAAATGAGGTGTTACATGGATATCTGTATAAGGGGGTGTTGGTGTATTTAGACGATATTTGAATTTACACTATAGTATAATTCCACATGGCTCTTTAAAGACAATAAAGGTAATAAAAAAATGAAGCAGCCAATTTCATTATTCCATAATAAGAGAGGTGACACTAGCTTAATGGCTACAAGTAAGAAAATTGGTCTCATCACTGGATGATTAATTAGGGATTTTTAAATGCTGAAGTTTATCTCTCAAAGTTTAAAAACATGCAGGTATCACATTTTTAAATAAGAGATGGTCATTCATATACCAGTCTATAGGTGGCAGCAAATGATTGTTCCTGAAACTGAATCTCTCATTTAAATTACAATTAAGCATTGTGAATATATTTTGTCTTTCATTTTCTAAATTTAGTGTCTATGTGCTTTTAATCAAGGCCAAAATATCAAAATCTATTTGGAAATGAGAAGAAATTGGCATGCCAAAATCTGAGGTGATAAGATTTTACATTAGCAGCTTCACTGCTAATAGCTTGGTTATGTAGTTATGTAGCTCCCACCCTGTTGGTTTTCCGCAAGCCGCTTAAGACCTGACTTTTCCGGCAGGCCTGGGGTTTATAAAATCTGACCCCTGGATGACTGTTATTGTATTGTTTGTTTTGTCATGTTATATGGTGTTTTTATTGTTAGCCGCCCGGAGTCCTGCGGGAGTGGGGCGGTTTATAAATTTTAAAAATAAATAAATAAATTTAGAAAATATATGGCCACCTGTCTTACGTAACTAACCCTAAACTGTTAACAACAATACAAGAAGAAATAATATAATGAAAATCCCTGTAAACAAAACAAAAACATGGTACAACAACTCACACCACAAGAACACACATTAGGCTCCGCTAGCATCTTAGCCCTAACACCTGGGGGAGGGGGGAAACCAGATTTTTGTGGCCTAACAGAAGACCAAAATTTCAGAAAGAAAGCTATGCCACAGGACAAGCCCCCCCAACCGGTCGTAAGTCGAGGACTACCCAACTGGTCGTAAGTCGAGGACTTTCTCTGCCCGGGAGTGCCGCGCATGCGTGGTGCCGCCCCCTGCACTCGCCAAGGCATAGCTGGCAAGCGGCAGAGACGGAGCAGGCCGACCACCGGCTGGGCCACCAGCTGGCCCAGCCCAAGGGAGGTAAGGTACCTGCCAGGCCCCATGTGCGCCAGTAACCCTCCCTGTGCCTGCTGTCCTCCCATCTCCCACCCCTGGCCCTCTTTTACTTACATTTTTAGTAGTTGCTCAGCAGGGAGGGATGGAAACTTCCAGACAGCTTGCCTTTGCTGCAGACAACTTGCAGCACTGTTTGCAGAATGGGACTTTTGGCGGGCTCAGCAGGGCAGAGACAGCCTGGACAATTCCTATTGGCTTTTGAAAGCCAATAGAATTAGACTCTATTCAAGAGAGTCTATTCTATTGGCTTTCAAAAGCCAATAGAATAAAAGGGAGTAGCACAGCTAAGGAAAAGGGGGAAAAAAATGGCGGACTGCGTTGTTTGGCGACCCCTGTGAAATGGTCGTTCGACCCCAAAGGGGGTCACGACCCATAGGTTGAGAACCACTGTACTAGAAGCCAATGCAACAGAGACAATGGGAAAATATATCCCTTCCACTATCTATAAACCAAAGTCATTAGAAAAGTGACCTACAATCAGCTCAGCAAAGACTAAGATCCAGGAAAAGCTTTGTTTGGTTGACAAAAGACTCTCAGAATCAGAATCGAACAATGTTGGAAGGGATCTTGGAGGTCTTCTAATCCAGGTCCCTGCTCAAGCAGAAGATCCTATACTATTTCAGAGAAGTGGCTATCCAGTCTCTTCTTAAAAACCTCCAGTGATGGAGCATGCACTATGTCTAAAGGCAAGCTGTTCCACTGGTTAATTGTCTTCACTGTTAGGAAGTTTCTCCTGAATTCCAGGTTGCTTCTCTCCTTGATTAGTTTTCATCCATTGTTTCTGACTTGCCTTCTGGTAGATTGGAAAATAAATTGATCCCCTCCTCCATGTGGCAACCTCTCAAATACTGGAATACTGCTATGTCACCCCTAGTCCTTCTTTTCTCCAGACTGGCCATACCCAAATCCTGCAATCGTTCTTCATATATTTTAGTATCTAGGCCTTTAATCATTTTAGTTGCTCTTCTATGCACTTTTTCCAAAGTCTCAACATCTTTTTTGTAATGTGGTGACCAAACCTGGATGCAGTATTCCAGGTGTGGCCTTATTAAGGCTTCATAAAGTGGTACTAATACTTCAGGTGATTTTTGATTCTGTTTATACAACCAAGGATTGCATTAGCTTTTTTGGCTGCTGCCACACACTGCTGGCTCATAATCAAGTGATCGTCCACTAGGACTTGAAGGTCCTCTCACAGTTACTGTTTTTGAGCCAGGTTTTTTGTACTTGTACA